AAACGGAAAAGTTATGAAAAAAACGTGAAGCTCAAAGGGCTTAATTTTCAGATTTCCATTTTTCCTGTTGAAAAAATAATAATTTACATTTTCTAGGATAGAGCCATTAGCTACCCACGGAGCCATTAATAGAGAAAAATAGAAGATTTTATAGCTTTAACTTTATCAAACAAACATAGGCGATAAAAACTTGTCGTTTGCGGGCAATTCGATATTTCTTTCACACATATGGGATCGAGTGAAGTGTGAAGTAATTCGATAGGACAGCACATTTTCGATTCGACACCCGCTCCCACCCCTCCCCGGGTGATTTAACACGCTCTGGCATCGATTCTAATAAATGCGCTTTTTGGGACCAAAATTCAAGAGTATTTCATTTGGCTTGGGGGATTTGGGTAAACTATGCCCCAGTGAGGATGTTGTACTTTCACGGATGTTGTACTTTTATGAAGATTTTTTCAAGGCAAATTCAATGCCAAAATTACAAATGAAAGCAGATCACCTGCATGATCATGACACCCACCTCTCCCCCCCCCCCTCCTTGGCAAAAGAATTATGGTCCTCTGAGAGCATTTTTGGACTCGCGACCAACTACAGTCAAAACGTTCTCATTTATGACCACGGATTTTTCGCATGATATGTTTTCCACCGTTCTAATTCAATTTCTGTTTTCAAAACGACACTGAGCAGAAATCTTCCCGAAAAATTATTGCTTCCAAATGCTACTACCATTATTAGACGAATAAACAAATTTTTGAAAAAAAAAGTCAACGAAGTCAGCGTTTGACGCAAATTAGATGTTGTCTGCAATTGCACACTTTAGCGTTTTCAATAATTCGATGGTAAGAAACAACCCACAACTACGATTGGATTTCTTGAAAAAGCCCATGACAGGCGTCAAATGAACTTTTTCACAAGAAAAGGATTTTCTCGAAGGTTAAAGTTGCTGCGCTTATAGCTTTTAGCTTCGAGGTTGATTGTTATGCAGGTAAAGGCTAGAGCTAATCTCACAAAAATGTAAGAGGATTAGCTGCAAACATTGAATGCAACGAAGTTTTGCACGGAGGAGGGAATGGGGAAAGACGGGAACGAAGGGGAGGGAGGGGATAAAAAAAGAAAAGGCACTATGCATCATGCTTATTATTTTTCCGCACAAAAAGGTTGTAAAAAAGCGTAGTAGTTTCTAAAAACAGCCAAATTCAATAACATTAGCGTAGTACGGGTACTATAGGAAAATAATGGTGGGGTACTGGCGGGCAAAAAAAAACTTTACAGAATTCTTTAGTAGCTATACAAACACGTGTAAAAGTGCAATAGTGAGTTATGGTGTCGTAATAGTGCTTCTGGGTTTCCTTCTGGAGGGAGAGGGGTTGGAGGTAAAAAAGAAATGAATACTAGCAAAATTTTTCTTGCTACGAAAAAGTTGCAAGATAACAGCGAACTCGTCGAAACAACTGCGAGAAAATGACATTTCTGCCCAAAATTTTTCTCGCGATCGTGTGTGTGTGTGACAGAAGAAAAGTGTGCAGAATCGCGTGAGTGTACTCCAGAGTCAATATTGATAAAGTTTGCAGGTCATTCGGGTGCATCGTGACGGACATGAAGAAGTCGAATAATATATGCGCTGTAGTGTGTGACATGGAAAACAAAGAGCGTTCGAGAGGGAGAGCGGAGATGCCAAGGGGGGATGGACGGGGGTTTGATGCCTCGGGAGCCGCTCTTGAATGACTCGGCTTCCGTCAAGGTCAGATTTCAGGCCTGCTAAGCTTTATCCCAGTGTGCTAATACTATTTCTAGAGAGGAGCCACGGGCGTTACGAGATTGGAAAAATCAAACCGTAGTAGTAAACGGACGAAGCGGAGGCCGACGGCGTTGTTTTGGACTTACCTAAATCGCATTACACTCGTCTTTTGCATACCACACACATCCAAAATCCCGAAAATCTCCGTAAATCTCTCTGATGCAGGTCTCGGAAAGAAAGTCTGAACTCTACTCTCAGAAAACCTCGATGATGTGATGCAGCTGCACTTCGCGGAGTTCGCAATTCGGCAAAACCTCCGCGAAACCTCCGCGGAACTGCTGCGTAATTTCAATAGAATCAAAGCGGAATTTTCGCGGCACTTCCGCACGACTTTGACAAAAAATAATGTTCTTTATGATGAAATACTTTTCGAGTAGCTACTTTCCTATTTCTTGACTGGTTCCTGCAAAGCTTTGGAGTAGAAATTCCAAGGAGAGCTCAATATCTGGCACTATCAAGCACAAGTGCGGGGAATTTCGTCAATGTGCAAACGACATGAAATATGACTGCGGTTCGCCGGGCGAGTTCCTCGGGGAGTTCAACGGGCAAAGACGAATCTTTCGTCGACATGCTCGCGAAAGAATGTTCGCAATTCGCACCCGCTGCGATTCAGGGAATACCGGAAGGTTTGAAGAAAGATCGGTGAAAGCCGAATATAAACCACGTATCTCTGATGTGACAACGGGTTTTATGATGTTTTTCTACGTATGAATGTGTTTGTTACATTTTGCGATTTTCGCACGACTTCCGAAAGAGTTTCGAGAAATTCCGCACAAGTTTGGCAAAAAATTGACGTGATAGAACTTTTCAAATCTTTTTTTTTTTGAAGTAGGTAAGCTTCATCCTCAATGTTGTAATCAAGGAAATGCAGTAAAATTTGTAAACCTCCAAGAAGAACTAGAAAACTAGAGTTAAGGAAATTCCAGGAGAAATCGAATGCTTCACATCAGCACATGCTTCTATGCACTTGGTAAGCAGCATCAGATAAGTCAAAGAGCAAAACTCCGGCGATATCCGTGCGGCTGCAAAAGAATGAAAAGAAGTCTATTCCGCTCTCGATGTTAATGAGACTGGCAATCTTCAGCGCGATAAAAAGCGCATGGTACTGCTTTCATAAGTGCACTACGGCAGTAATAGTGTATAACCTTTTACCAGGGGTAAAAAGTAACCGGGCATATGATAAAGTATGGATTTTCCCCGTACTATGGCTCATAACATAGGAAAGTTGCTATGTGACAGAAAAATGGCAGCAAGGTTGCAGCAAGTCGGCCGCAAAATGAGAGCAAGGTGTCCGCAAGATTCCAGCTATGTTGTTGCAATGTTGTTGCAATGTGTCGCAATGCTGTTGCATGGTGTTGCAAGATGGCACATTGTAGTTGCAATGCTGTTGCAATATTGTTCAGTATAGTTGCATTGTTGTTGCAAGATGGCTGCAATGCTGTTGCAAGTCGCAATGCTGCTGCAATATTGTAGTAAAGTGGTTGCAAAGTGGTTGCTGTTGTTGCAATGTTGTTGCAAGTGGTTGCATTATTGTTGCAGTGCTGTTGTAAGGTAGAACAGCTACTGCAACATTGTTGCAATGGTTGCAAGGTATGCGCAAGGTGTCCGCAAGATGGCAGCATGAAAACGGGCAAAAAGCGCGCGGTCGCGAATCTGACACAATCCCGTCACTATACAATGCCCCTGATGATGACGAATTTGCGCTATGGATGCGCGAAATCAGATAAAATTACACGGGGCACCCGTGATGTATACGTAGCACATAGCATAGGTGTTGTTTCACTGGAGAAGCAAGGGGAAAACTCGTTGACTCAAGGGCTTTCGGCGCAAAAGCGCCCAAAAATCTGCAAACGCCCATACAAAGTTCTGTTTTTACTACTTTCATAATTCTTTCCCACCCAAGCACATAACGCTGAACAGAAAGTTCCTTGTTATAGCTCCCCAGATGACGAAAGAAGGTCGAAACGAGCTCGCACTTCATTTGAATAAATTTCCCAAAGGGTTTCAAAAAATTAGCGTTTATCAAAACTAGGGACTTGTCATGTCCAAGAAAAGTTAAGCTTTCCGATAAATTATGTCCAGCACTCAAAACCGTTTTACCAACAAGGACAGAAACCGTTGGATAAACTCTTGCAACCACACCTCAAAGGCGGCCGTGGGGAGGGGGGAGGGGTCGGAAATAGAATTTTGACAGCGCTATCACTTATCCAAACCTTGAGAACACACAGACAATAAAAGTCAAGAAAAAATTACTACCGAGCTATCAGATGACCCAAATTTTGTAGCCAGAAGAAATTTTTATATAATGGCTGTCATTGTATACCAACGACTTACGACAAAGAACAATTTTATAATGACTGGGCAACAAGGAAAACGTTTTTTCTTTCCACTTTTTCCCTCCCACATTTTCTTTTGTTGACAGACGTACTGAACCTCCAAGAAGTCAACTGGCGATTATAGAGTTCAAAAGACGAAAGTTAACCCAAATACCATTAATGTTCAGAAGTTTTAATTGTAAGTTCTTATTATCAATATAATAGCAAAAGCATGTTTCTTCCAGTAGAAATTTCTAGAGCATTGCGAACCCTGGCGATTTGATAAAAATTAGATTATGTCAACGGCTCTATCCTCTACAATGACTACAATTCGAAATTTTTCAACTAAGGAGGCGTCAATTCTTGATGACTAGGGGTTCAGAAGTTTTGTTAATTGTATAAATCGTAAGATTTGTGGCAACCTAATGATCTTTGCATCGAACACTTCGCTGGATTCTTAGGAGCTTAAATTTTGAAATGTATTTGCACCAAAGACTATTTGTCAATCTTAGATATTTCCGACCGTTAAACCTTTTCCTATTTTTTGCAGTCATTCCATTTTCCTGACATTTCTTCTTGTAGTCTCTCCAACGAACTTCGAGTGTAGACTGAACTTGGAAGTTTTTTTCGCACATCCTACTCATCTACTATGTTTTGAACTTCAATCAAGTTGTAATTATGATCAACCTTCACTCCATAATTTGGTAAATCACGAATGAACGTCAATATCCCACTGTTGCAAAATTTTTCTCATAATGGCATATCTTACTGAATACCAAAGACGTAAAAGTGGCTTGATCACTTGCCTGATACATAGCTATCCACAATTTTGTTCCATGTTGCTTCCTTTTCAAAAGTTGTATTAAAAGAATATTTGGACCCACCTGTTTCCTCGGGTTCAATATAGCAGTTTTCCTGGTCTTCAAGACTGAGGCAACCTGGGCCAATGGACTCGATGAGAGCTTCTGATGGGTTCTAAAATAAAGTCGTCAGTGAATACAGCAATATAGGTTGGAACACGGAGAAAATGATAGGAAACATAGGTCAACTATATGTGGGAATTGAAAAAGTACTGTACTTAGAAGAAGGCTTCTCATATATCCGAAAGTTATCCCGTAAGACTGCATTGCAATTTGTTTACCGTATGCCTACCGTACTGAGATAGCGAGACACTATCACAACAGTATTTTCATCCTAATATTAAAGAGAGCAATAAAAATTTTTCTAGTAACATCCATATTTTTCATATTATTTCCAACCATAGAGTATGTCAAAAAGTCCATGTAAGGTAAAAACAGCTGTGCAAAGCTTCAGAAACTCAATTCTTATAATTAGTGAAGTTCATATGATTACTGCCCTGAGTTTCAGTTCCAAACTCTCGTCCGATACCGTATACTTTCTGAGCAGACAGCGTCCAAGGTTACGATGATGGGCGAGAGTTCAAAACTACAAGTCTTGGCTCAAATTAAACCTAATGAGCTAATGTTAGGCCATTCAGATTAATTCTATGCGAGGATCAAGTTTAGTAAGCTTACAGTTATCATTAAAACTCTAAGCGAGTAGAGGTGGAGTGAAAGTATTCATAGAAATACGCCGCTAGGTGACTTTATCTTGTTCATCAGTGAATATGGCAATACAAACAAAATTTGCAAATTTCATAAGCAACAGAATGCAAAAATCTGTCAAAATTTGGCCATGTCAGCCGCCGCATGAAAGCTAGTGTTTTGGGCGAGTGTGTCGATTTTTATACTGAGAATAGGGAGTGGAGAAGCGAAAACAACGAAGAACAATGCTTGAGGCACACTTCATTGAGCACTTGGACGTCAGTCGAGAGAGAGGGAGGAGAGCACCAGAGCAACCATGATTGTCAAGGAGAGACGGAAATTGTGTGTCTAGTCTGTGTCTACACAAAAGGAGATCTAAAGCGAGATATAATACTGATACAGAGAGCTGGACTGCGCTTCAATTCGGCTGATTATAGGGAAGCGGTTCTTCCAAAGCCCCGTGGCGCATTCCGGGCAATGGGCGTTGTACACAGATGGGCACCATATTGCAAATTAATCAAATGGATTTACATAGCCGCTCGTCCTCAACTAGAGATATGTACAGATCTCTAGGAATGTGCCGCCTTTCTAAGCCTAACATAAGCTGGGTTCACTCTATGGAGATTTGCATCATAGAGCAAATCACTGGTCTCGAAACGAAAAGGGTTTTGCATCCTTGAAAATCCTCTCGCTAACAAGACCCCGAATGAGGTGGCAAATTTGTGATTCAAGAATCTGTACAAAGTTATTCCATGGTTAGCGCCTAATATCTACCGCAGATTTGATTTTTAAAATTTTTTCAAGACTTCATTTGATTCGCAAGAACGCTATTGTGTTAAGGGTTTCTACCGTAATCCTACAGTAAGGAAAAGAGATCTTCAATTCGATCAATATATCGTGGTTGTAAGCGCGAAAGACATCATGGCTGAAATGTTATCGAAAAATGAAAGAAAAGAGTAAGGACATTCTTTCTCGACACACTATAGTACAGAAACTAGGTAAGACTACATCCCTAGCGCATAAAACTGCGTAGAGAAGAAAAGTCATAAAAAAAAGTCATAGAAAATTAATTTGAACAAAACTTTAGAAAAAGATATCAACAAACGTGGCCGTATGCCCGCGATTTGCCTTCGCTACTTATCAAACCAGGCACTTAGCGGCTGGGAATATGGAAACATAGGAAATGGAGTCATTTTTCTTCTGCTAGAGCATATTTCAGGAGATTCAGCTGCTTGATGGATTAGACTATTGATTAGAATAATTCTTCAAGCATGAAAGTTAGTCGAATGCCGCATAAAGAAGATTTCAACGATACCGAAGTTTTCAAAAAGCTCACATAAGACGCGTCAGAATTTAGTTAGATATGCACGCCTACGGTTTCGAATCTTGTAAGCAAAAAGTGTATTGAGAAGGTAATCCTATTAGATTAGTGCAAGAGACATGATTGAATAGCGCTATTCAGTAGACTTGGATGAGATGCAATTTTGCTTGAAGATGGTCTTGTAGATAAGACACCAGTGAAGTTTTCAACCCACGCTCCTTTCTAGAATGCAATAAATCGGAACAAAATTATAGTTATCAAATGGAAGACATTTTTACCATAATTACCGTATTCGCATCTAAAAATTATCGCCTGTCTTGCACAAAGCTACCCCCCCCCCTCTCCTAATTTAACCCATTGACGACGATGTGTACCACCGATGGCCCACGCACTTTTTGCCTCCAGGGACGATGTGAGTCACCGGCGGCCCACACTCCTTGCAAAATCGTATACTTTTTAAGCCTGATATTTTTTCCATTTTTTTGCCCTCTCGAAATCTGTAGTCTTCTTCGTCCAAGAATACGATTGTAGCTGCTTACAAGATAACCTCACATTTCGTAAATAATCAAAAACTTTCCTATGAAAGTTTATGCAAAATTGCGTCGTTAATGGGTTAAAAAGCATTGTGTCATGTGCAAAAAGGTCCAAATCTCGGTTTGATTCCGTCTCCAACAGTACTTTCTTTTCTTGAGCTTATGAGTAGCATTTTTCTGCTCACAACGGAAGTCCTATGCAAAGTTGCTTAGATAAATTAGCCCGATTATGTCTCATAAAAACAAATGGAAGTTCAGATTTTGGCCAAGGCAAAAGTTTGACAATTTGATATCCTAAAAAATCAGTTATCCAATAAATTGTGATAGTAGCAAGCATACAAACATTTCCAAAAAATATAAAAGCGCCATAGCTTTGGGCAGCAGCTTTGGTCATCGTCAAACAGCATAACGATTATATGAAAATCATAACAGAAACGATTATATGAAAATCATAACAGATGCAATGAACCTAATGCCACGCAAGGTGTCTGTAGAATTGTTCGATGTGAAGTGTTTGTGATTTGCAAAAATAAAATAGACGCGAAACAAAAGCGCAAAAATTTTTAGTTGGAAACAACAAATGGTGTTCCTCTACACTACTAAAGTTGCGGTGAATTAATGAAGTTTGGTCATCCGCTTGGATAATTTTTGCTGTTTAACTTTTTGCAAATGGAATTTTGTACCGTAAAAGCTTATGCAGAAAGTGTTGCTACGTTCTACTAGTCCAATGATCACTCGAGGTCAATGTAAGGATACAGGGTGTCCCAAAAAATGTGCCTACTGTTTGATTGTAAATAACTTTCTTGTAATGAAGTGTTTCGAGAAGCTTCAGGTACCGTTCTGTAGAGCGAGGTTAAACTTAGATATACAGCATGGAGCGAATCATCTATCACTCTTCATTACTGTAGGATTACGGTAGGAACTTCGACGAGGATTTTAGGCCCTTGGAGGTTATACTCTGCCTCGGAACGAAACCAAACAAGCCAGAAACTCCTACACTACGGTAATGGGAGCCGCTAATTTCGAACTTGAAATTCCCGTTTTGCTGTGGTGCTTCTTTCCTATGTTATCCCCGGTAAATCGCAATAACTTAATTCCCAGCATTTGTCAGAAATGTAATTACAACGTCGAAAAAGCTGAAAACATCATAAAAAAGTTGTTAGGAGGAATTGGCATGCGCAAAAACCCTAGTACACGATTTTTCAGATTTTTTGAAAAAAATTTTGTTAGGTGGTATACTTCACAATGGTTCCATATGCTGGAAGTTCTTACCGTAATCCTACAGTAATGACGAGCGATCGATGATTCACTCCATACTGCAAATCTAAGTTTAAGCTCGCTCTACAAAAGGGTACCTAAAGCATCTCGAAACAATTCGTTACAAGAGAGTTATTTACAATCAAACAGTAGGCACGTTTTTTTGGGACACCCTGTATAGTAAGTTGCCAAGGTTACGGTGGCGTACGGTTGGATAAGTGTCTCCACTAGATAAGCTCTCATTATTCGTATTAATCTGCTGTTATCGGAAGCCACTTCCAAAATAATTGTTATCGGTAAAAACCTATAATGACACAAAACTCTCTTCAAGACTCAAACTCAAAATGATAAAATTTCCTATGTAAAGTAGTTCGAACTCGAATAAAACTCATTCTTTTCTCGCAATTTCTAAACGTTTCCTCACTTTTAGCTTGACAGACATTTTGAACACTATGTTTCCGTGGCCAATCTTATCCTCCGCATAAGCTTTTTTTTTTGTTGAAAAATGGGTTTCTCGATGGAGTCTTTGAATGAGTGATGAAGCTCATAATATTTCGTCTTTGCGTGCGCACGCAAAGCAAAGAACTTACTACATAGGAAGCGAATAACAGAGCGATATATTTTTTGCAATGGTTTAGACTGAGACTGGAAAATGATGAAAATGATTTGTTGATGGTTGGGATTTTTCGCAAGAGGGCCACAGGACCAAAATTGCCTAAACAAACGGCTGAGAAAAGCCACAGGTCAATCGAATGTTATTCTATTTTTAATTGTTGAATAAATTTGGACATTTGAGAACGCTGATGACCATTTGCGTCTACTGTAATCCACTGCTGTGTGTAAAATGCGTCTCTTGCACCAAAGTACCGTACGTTACCATAATATCGCCCAGCTATGAAGACGAAGAGGCAGAGCTTCGATGCTCTAAGAAATACACATTCTTTCGCAGAAATCATCTTGCTGCAAAAATAGGTCCCACGCGTTTTGCAAGTCCGAGATCACGGTAACATACTGTAGCTGTGCAAAAAGTCCAGTCTCCCCCAGTTTGTAGTCATTTACCCAGCTCAAAGACGTATACTGCCTATTTCGGACTTGTACTACCTTTCCGAAAAGAGAACTGACTTCACATCGCGACTAAAACATTTAGCACCCCACTGAATACGGCAGGGGCTGTGGTTGCATACTGTAACGGTGTAAAGGGCCGTTTCCCGTAGCTCGCATTGACTCATCAATTTTATAATCGGTTTCTTAAAAAGTGAAAACGTGCGATTTGAGACGTTCTTAAGTCCCCCTTCTTATTGTTAGAAATTTCGCATCAGTATTTTAACATTTGTAAACAATTCATCATTTGACAATCTTCCAAAAATGTCAAAGACTACTTACCTCGATGTAATCCTCCATTACGTCTTCTTCTTGTGACTCTATAGGTTTTGCTATATGTGAGATATGAACGTCACCAATGCTATGCACACGAGGAGATCCTGAAAATAGAAACCGATTATCTTAAAAAGGATTTTTTGCACGTAAGAAGATTGCATGGTTCGTAAAAAAAACGATAAAATCACACAAGTTCGCTGCCGCAAATGGAAGATGATGGTAATCGGACACCTTGAAATGGCTCACTTCCGTAAAAAGGGACTAGGGCTATGGGACTCGCGAATGATCCAAAAATAGATATCGCGGGAGATTCGAATTTTTGGGAGGGAATTTCATACGCAAGAAGACTGCATTGAATAAAGGTAAATAAAAGTAAAAAAGGTGTTCTGCCTATTCTTTGTCCCCCCCCCCTCTCCAATGAGTAAAAGTGCAGGCTACTTTCCCCTCCCCTCTCCTTCTCCCCCTCCCCCCCCCCCCCTGCGGACAACTCCGCTGGACGTTTGGGTGAAAAATCGCGACCCTATGAATGCGTGATGAACCCCTATCAATACCGGCTGTCCTTACTTGGTCCTTTGACTCTTCAATAATGAATGGGCTGCGCCAGCAGAGACTTGGAGAAAGATTTTATAAATGCAAAGATATTCATTAGGAGCTATAGAATATAACTGAAAGTTTTACAAAACCGCAAAAACCTCCTTTAAAATACCGGATTTTCACATTCGTGGGAACAAACTTTGCAGTATTATAGGGCATTTGAAATCATGACGACGGCGCGACCGCGCGCGACACGCACGCACTTCCAGCAACCGCATTTCCCTGATTTCTATCTCGACTCGAATGGTTTCTTAGCTTACGTACGACTAAGAATTGGGTTAATGGATTTCAACATTTACATCACGAATAAATTCAAACAACAAAGCAACTTTTTAGAAAGATAAAAACATTATTTTTTATTCAAGACACTTCACAATTTGTCGAAAATGTGGAGCTCAAGGTAGAAAATAAGCAAAACTGTGCCGAGATTTTCTTGGTCCAAATTTGAGATTATACTCAATGCAGTGGTATAGCTCTGCCGACTAATTCCCGCCAAAACGCGCCGCCACCGCATGCGAGTTCAGCACGATAGCAGAGAGGTCAAGTGTAAATTAAAATTGAAGTATAAATTACATTATATCTGTTTTTCCTCCTCAGACTTAGTTTACATTTTTGAGAAGAAGAACGGCGAATAAGCAAGTGGAAGAAAAGAAGAGATGAGGATTGCGAGCGCAACCATTACGGTGACGGCCGCATGCGGTTGCGTTACGTTTTGGCGAGAGACCTGCGCCAAAACTTTTATACACACCGCTGAATCATCCAAAATCAGTAGAATTAGGATGTTCAAGACTCTTTCTGTCAAGTGCAATCAATCAAATATTTGAAGCGATTTGATAGAACATAAGATATTATGAAATGATAGTAAATAGCTTCTTGCTACAGGCACTTTTGAATTATGTCCTGTCGGCGTACGGTAGAAATACGGTAAGGATTCAATCCAGAACGCAACAAATGACATACAGGGTGTCCCAATAAAATGTCACACTGTTTGATTATAAATAACTCTCTTGTAGTGAAGTGTTTCGAAAAGCTTTAGGTACCTTTTTGTACGGCGAGGTTCAACTTAGATTTACAGTGTAGAGCGAATCGCCCATCGCTCATTTTTACTGTAAAAGTACGGTAGAAACTTCAAACATATGGGGTCACCGTGAAAAAGCGGCCGTTTCAAAAATTTTCAAAAAAAATGTGGAAATTTGTGTGATAGGGTTTTTATGGACCCCGAGTTCAATACCTAACTCGTACAAGGTTGTGAAGGTTTCTAAACGGTGTAACCGCCCTTTTTTAGGAACACTTAAAAAACGTCTACTGCTGCTTACCTCGCATAATTTATTAAAGGCAGTGGACAGGCAAAATGGACCCCTGTCAGATTTTGGTAGTTTCGGGTAGTGGACCCTCCAAATACACCGTAGCCCCAACCCCGACTTCCAATTCATGCGCTAAGTCCTGAAAAAAGCGCTTCAAACTTCCACCAATAACGCCCACTCAATGGAAGTGGGCGGGGCTGGTGGAGTTTTGAAGCGCTTTTTTCAGGACTTAGCGCATGAATTGGAAGTCGGGGTTGGGGCTACGGTGTACTTGGAGGATCCACTACCCGAAACTACCAAAATCTGACAGGGGTCCATTTTGCCTGTCCACTGCCTTTAACGAAGCATTACGAAGAGTTGCGAACTTCACATTTGGGATCAGCAACTCTAGTTAGCCCAGTGTGAGAGTTTTCAGGTTTTTTTGGTTTCTTTTTGGAACAAAATATGGCCTTTCATGGCTCAAAACCCTCTTCAAAGTTTCTACCGTAATCCTACAGTAAGAATGGGAGATCGGCGATCCGCTCTACATTGTAAATCTAAGTTGAACCCCGCTCTACAAAATGGTACTTAAAGCTTCTCGAAACACTTCACCACAAAAGAGTTATTTACAATCAAACAGTGTGCACATTTTTTGGGACACTCTGTATATGTTAATTATCACGGATGTTGTATGTCTGGAAGCACACTAAACGTACCTCACCAGATTGTAGTAATAAATAATAAGGAGATTAGCTCCGAGTTTTTTTTCGCTTTTCGATCAGAATTTTCTACTAGAAAGTTGCATTACGTGTTGAAATTGGCACTTTTCCACAAAACAAGGAAGACGGACCATATCTGAGGTAAAATACATAACTGTAGGCAGGACGGGAGCGGGAGAACAAGGTTGATTATTGAGAGTAGTTATAGTAAGTATGCACTCCATCACTCTCGTGCTTTCCCACGAATTTTGAGCGAATTTTATTATGCTACAGTAATACTCAAACAAAAATTCAAGAAGAACGCTATCTTGGTTGAAATTCTAATTCGAAACTCATTGAATGAAGTTTATATGCCCATAAATATGCCCACTTTCTCATAGACTGCGTAATAACGAGCAAATTATTCAGGAATGCAATCAGACATGAGACCATTAGCAAGAGAACTTCTTATATTGAATTTTCACATGCTGCACCAGAAAACAGGAAATTCGTCAGCACTCTCCGCCTTTGGCCAGAGTTCAAGATTTGGAAGAAAAAATGTTTTTCCAAGTGAGCAAAGCGTTTGCGTCACCAATATGGAAACGAGCACCATTTTTCCGAACTTTTTTTTTCAGAGTTTCAAAAAAAAAAACATCATGTGGTGCACCACTTGATTAGATTATTGCTAACTCTTCTTCTTATGTACTCCGCCCCCCCCCCTTTACCTTTCCTTCCGCTTCACACCCTCCGTTCTCAAAATTTCAACTGTTCTGCTTCTCGTACCATGTCCAGAAAAAAAACTTGCAAGGACTTTTTCAAAAAAAATTATCCACCATTTTAGCCCACCCCTGGTACAACTTCATTCAAATTCTATGCTCTATTGATATTTCATTTTACGAAAAATTGAGAAAACAAAAAAATGTTAGAAGTTTTCTTGCAATAATGCGCCTTTGCCGGAACTGAAAGACAGAGGAATTCTGAGCCGCTCATCATTAGACAATATATGAGATCTCAAAAAAAAACTTCCGAGTTTTGGGGAAAAATTGAACAAAGTGCAATGATTCTTTGCCTTATTTATACTGGATAGACGGTTGCGCAATTTCATGTCTGAATTAAGAAAGATAGAAGCGAGTAGAAAAGTAGGTAGGATTTTCAAATTTTCCTGTCGCATCAAGCGAACATACACACTTTCTCTAACCTCTAGAAGAAGCAATGATTAAGGGACTGTGTTGTCACAAAATAAATGCCAATGATAAATGCTTGGGGAAGTATTTTTACAAAAAAGATATCTTGCTCTAGAAAGGGGGGGGGGGAGGAGAGATAAAAGGAGAAAACGAAGGAGATGAGTAGGGTTCAAAGAGAGAGCGTGTTTTCACATAAGATTCGTGACAGCTGCTCGTTCCCCCCTATTCCTTTTTTCCTTGCGCAAAAGATTCCAGCAGTCGCTTCTACGTTGCGGTGAATTATTTCGAGAAAAATTAGAAAAAATGCTGGATTTCAGGGTTATAGCAACTTGAAGTAGTATAGGTTTACGGGAAGATTATGGTAGGAATATGGTAGGTACACTGTAGCACTTGCAAAGCGTATATTCATGACATTTGAGGAGAACCGGCGAGCACAAACTTTAAAACAGAACCATCAAAATTTGCTTCCCCCCCCCCCCTACCTCCCTGGAAACCATTGCTAAAAGCCCTAATATCGCGAGCCATTTGAGGCCGGGCAAAACCGAAAAAAAGTTTGGTGAGTCAGAAAAAATATCCAGAAGAAATTCATGAGACGTTCAAAAAAGGAAACAATGTTTAAACAGGCGAAAAAAGTAGAGAAACGGGCTAGAGATCATTTGTGAGCGTATATCATCTAGAGTTGGCCATACGGCTTCGAAGAGGAAGAAATTCGAGCCTCAAAGCTGTAGTCGAGAGCCACATCTCCTCTCGCTGCTCTCAAACTATGGCAATTAGAGCCTCCGGATCGTTGAAGCTTCAAGAAGAAGTGTTTTCTTATAGGGTGACAAGAGCAGAAGTAGTCAGCAGCAAATCTCTTTACATTTGATGAAGTTAAGGCAGATTTGACCGTTGTTGATTACACGAAGAGTGACGACCGTGATTGCGGACAGAGAGTACGAACTGACTGAGGCGGCAATTACTACTACCTCGTATTGACATTCAACTCAGCGAAAACAATTCGTTCGTCGGTCAGCGATTTGTGATTGTGGAGCTTCGTACTAGGATTTTGCCGTAAAGTAGGTAGTATATTGCTTAAACGTTGAGTTCTCAAAGTAAATAAACAAAGAAAATAAAATATAATGGTCAGGAAACTAACTGTTAAAAATGGATTCTCTATAGCTATTCCACTCATAAATTTTGAAGATTAGGCCACATTTACCGTATGCTACCGTAATCAATTTCGTGAGCACTGTACGACAAAAGAATTGAACTATGCCTAAAAAATGTAAGAAGCTCAAAGCTTCTCTACCATGATTGAATTTTTTGAGATAATCTCGCGTATAATCTTATTCGTCCGTTTCCCACA